AATATGACCTGTAAACAGACTTCTCACCAGGCTAGTACTGCCTAACTCAGCTTTTCAAATCTTCAGCTGATCCTTGTATTATCCCTCAGAGAGATGGCGATTCTCCTCTCTACCATCCAGGTGCAGTTTTCATTATGGCAAAAGTCAGAGCCCCTGGAAAAAGCAGCAGCAGGTTTCAGCTAGACAAGCATGGTGACCTGTAAGTTTTCTTGCAAAGCGTAAATACTGTTCTTGGAAAATATCTGCGCACAAGGTGCATTTGTATTTTCAACTACTTATTCAGGTACCCGCAAGCGGTGCTTTATGTGCAAACTATGAAGAAAAATAAGAATGTGACTTACGGTTCTGGTGACTCTTGGTCATACTCTCCGAGTCTAAGGCATGGTAGAACTCATACGCTGAACGGCCCAGCAGCTCCTCCGGATGGTATCCAATCAACTCTGTTATTCTTGGTTAAGAAAAAAACCAAATATTTAAAATTCAGGTCATCTTAGCCTTATGCTCACATGTGCAGCGCAGCTATCAGCTCTAGTCCTTAGACTAACGATTAAAACCACAATATGAGAAATCTGAACTTCCGAACATGTTAGGAGCTGTAGAAGACTTCTGATCATGTTCAGAAATATTTCCATGTTCAGAATAAACTGACTTTTACTACGACTCCAATAAAAATTCCTAAAGATGTCATTACGTGTGTTGCAAATTCTTCCAGGCCTATTGCACAGTATCTCTTATAGAAGGTTTCAACTGGAAAACCATTGCTGATGAAGTTCTCTAGCTGTCCACTACATGCAGAAACTCCCAACTACCATCATTCAAAATCAAATGCATGTGAAGGGGGTAGTGGTTGGTACCCTCAGGTTTAAAAGTATGTGTACATTTAAAAAACATACATAAAAGGGTTAAATCACTACTTTAGGTATTGCATTTAATAAAAAAAAAAAAGCAAGCTCAGAAATTAAGGTCAGTTAAAAGAAAAAAAATCAGCTTCTCTACTTGGTGTTTCTCAATTATATGAGAACTTTAGCATGTGGATTAGGTTACTTGGGTGACTAATCCATAAACTAAGTAGGATTTTACACAAAGAAAGCTATGATCTCAAAAACTAGACTGTTTTTTAAGAGCCTGAGTACTCAGGCAAGGCAGAATTTCTCAAAAGTTCCTGAACAAATGAAAATACATCATCAAACTGTGTAGATGATTTTCCCTAATGAGGCGGTGGAGGAAAAGGGTTCTTTTTTTCTAGATTCAATTTGAAATACCATCACACAGAACTTTACAGGAAATACGGTTAGTAAAAAATTCAAAAGCAAGCACATCATATCTTCCAGCAAAATAAGGAAACACTGCTGTTTTCCAAGTCAACAGCACTCTTGGATGCCTTTTCCTAGCTTTTAAACTGCAATAACAACCTGTAATGCAGCAGAGAGCAGTAGCAGAAACAACTACAAACCAACTGCTAAGCTGTCATAAACCTTGAGAAGCCAGGGGGCTTGTAAGGAATAGTCACATCTTGCAGCACGTCACTGCCGTTGATGGTAATGCCCAAATTTTATGCCTGGCAACCACCTCCCTTGGAAAGGCTTTATCTGACACCATCATATTTGATTAGTGGCGTTGCTACTTTTAAGAGACACGTCCTCAGGTTTGTGTACTCCCTGGAAGGACAGCCTTGGCCCAGCCCTCCAGACACAGGCTTGTCTTTACAAGACAGACATGTAAATACTGTAAAATAAACAGAGCAAGAGCATGGCACTCATGTCCCAGATCTCCCTCCAGCAAGAAGACACATAAGATGGAGCTATTTTGTTTATGGTTTGAATGCCAAGGCATTGAGTCAGCTTTTCCTTTGCCTCCACAGAACTGTATAGCTCATATCCCCCGGACACCTTGGTTTTGTCCCTCTGAAAACTACTCTCTGTCCTGACTTCCATGGAATGAACCTGGGTTTATAATGGTTTAGTTAAGCAAAGACTGTAGTTGGTTTTATTGGTTGCCCCCTGAAGAAGACTTGCTCTTCTATTTATGTTTACAGTTTTAATTATGCTTACAGTTAGAGCGATGAAGGGGAAATTCTTGAATCAGGTTTCAAAGAAAGTTGCTTTTTTGACTCTCTTCACTGACAAGCTTCTGAGCTTTTAAACTACACACCAGTCAAATCTGCAACTTTTCTCTGAAACCATAATTGCTTTTTCTTTTTTAACAAAAGTAAAAGTTCTCATAAAGAGCTGGTCACCAGAGTTCAACCATCAGGAGAAATGAACAAATACAGAAGGAGCCCTAATAAAAGTAAGGCTCCCAAAATACAGTTGCTGCTTGCCTTTGCGTAGTCAGCTGGTACACATTGGTGTAAGTGGCCAGAGGCTTTTGCCAGGATCAGTGTAAATATACAGCTTTCAAAAACAGAAACTATGGCCTTTGGTTATATAATGGCATACTATCATAAAACCACCCTGGTCAGTTTGGAGCTCATCGCAAGGGGAAGGCTTTTAAAATTCAGGAAGTTGAGGATTTACTCTTAATCCAGTCATTGGGAGCTGAGAGCCAAGTAGGGGTTCAGTGGGGAGAAAGAGAAGGAAATAAAGATAACGGGGGGGGGGGGGGAGTGGGGGAAAAAAAAAAAAAAAGCAGCATCATGTACCCAGCAGCACAAATGCAAATCCAAAACCACATTACAGCCTTCATGGGTGTCAGCAGTGGAATTCAGATAGCAAGGAAAAAATGTGTGTTACAGCAGGCTGAGGGACTCTTAACTCTTATCACACAGGAACTGCAATCTCTATGCCAAACTGTCTATTCCACTCCTGTAATTCCCCTCTCAAATTGCTCCTCGCTGTTCATAACCAGCACCCTCACTACAAAATTACTCTTCTTGTCATTCCATGGCACAGAACAACTTGTGGAGCAATCCTGCTGTGACAAGGTCAAATTTAACTAGATCTAATACAATCTTGGATGAAAGTTAGCAAGTGGTAGGCTGGTATCTTTTTACAACCAACTAAAAAGTATACAGAAAGATAAAAATAAGATATCAAAGAATTACCCACAAACCCCACCACATTGGCCAAATTCTAAACCCACACGTGGTAACAGTGAAATACTAATCAAGAGTAATTGTTTTTAAACAGTTACTTTTTTTTTTTTTTTAATGGCTAAACAGCCTCTACGCCCTTGTTAACTGATACATTAATCTGTTACCACTAATCATATTCATTACATTTCTCTTTAAACACTCCTAGGAGTGAAATGATTTTTTTTTTTTTTAAATATAGAATGTTTCTTTCTCCCATCTCAAAAAACCCTAAACCTGACTGACAATGTTTCCTAGATACATTTTTAAATACCGCTATTTTATAACAAACACCATCTAGAAGAATTGTCAGTGATACTGTTTTTTTGGGTGCATGAATTGGCAGATGACATCTTCCTTTATTTCTCTTCTGGTGCTGCTGACTCTGAAAAGCTTAAAGAAACCTCCCAGGCTGCAGGCAGTGCGGAGCTGGAAATCAGATTAGCCAATTCCATACCACATTGTGCACCAGGTTCGAGGTGGGCAGCCATCTCTGTCTCCATCACACCCGTCCTGTGACTCTCAAGATGTTCGTGGAGGAAGACTGGCCGCACCTGAGAGCCTGAACAGCATCTGGGCCAGGAGGCAGCGAGTGCTTCAGCAAAGGTCTCTGCACTGACCTCAATTGAGGTGCACGAGTGAGGGACCCCCTCCAAACTCCACCTGCTTTTCCACAGGAGCCTCTTAGCGATACGAAATTGGTATGAAATGCCAAGTGAATACACAGAGGACTAAGTGCAAAGGAAAACGCATCCTACGGAGCTATGAGGAGGAGGAGCACACAACTAAGAGAGTCACAGAAATGTATATGCCCTGTGGGACCAAAGGGTCATTTACAAAACCTGAATCCAGAACACAAGACTTCTACTTTTGCTTAGACACCAGACAGAAAATTGCTCTTTGTGCAAGCTGTGGAATGACAAAATTGGAAAACAAACTGTATGGTGGTTTTGGATGGCCTTCCTGCCATGGCAGGCTTTGTGTTTCCCTTGCATTTGTAAAAGCTAAATTGGTGCTAATTGGATAATAATAATTTTTGTTGAAGACGACAGGTGGGCTGAGAGGCTGTTTGTTCTCCTGTTAACCACTCATTTCTGAAAACACAAATACCTTTGGGGGAATTTAATTTTGCCAGACTGGCCCTTGAGTTTTCTGAGCTAAACTTGTCACCATGATGTACTGAGGTCAAAATCTCAGAAAACACATTAAAGAGGTGGGCAGTAACAGGTCTGTCCCAACTACCGCTGTTTAAATGATTTTTGAGCACTGCTTCAGTTGCTCTTAATAAACCTATTTCTTGGAATATAGAGTAAAGTTTTGTGCTTAGGGTACACAATAGAGAAACAAGGGATCTGAATCCTATTTCTAGATTTATACAACTTTGTCCTACTTTTATCTCTTTGAGAACATGGCAAAGCAAACAAAGCTCTCTGCTTCAAAGGCTACATCTCCTAAGAGATGAGCTATTCCAAGTGGTTTGGTTTTTCTTAAAATTGTGCTTTTCTGTCTCTTTATAGGAGCACAAAGCTTTTTATTGTATACCATTTCTTGAGTTAAAATAGTATCGTAAGAACCGTCAGGACTGAGAAGTCAGGCTCTTTGTGAAAGACTGCTGTAATGTTTACTGCTTATAAAAAAAGAGCTGGGTGTATGTTCACTGGGCCATGTGTGGACTGTGTGTGTGAGGGTGTGGATCTCAACAAAGTCTTTCTGTATTCAAACCGTTACAAAGTTATTGAAGTTAAATTGGTCTTGACGGAACAAACAAACAAAGTTATACTTAAAGCAGAATGAGGGAGATTTTTTTTTTAAAAAAAAAAAAAGCCCAGCACAGCCACTATGCTTTAGCATTCTGCCAGTCTGCTAGAGCAGGCGGCAGGGCAGCGTAGCACTCCTGCCAAGTACCCACATTTTGTCTTGAAAATACTCATGGCTTCTTCTACTCTAACTCAGGCCAAAGAAAAAATTAAAATGCAAAACTCTGGGACCCCTGGCCACTCCTTAGAGGGATGGCTGGCCTCATCAGGTGTATCTGCCCTGCTAGGCAATAAAACTAGATGGGTGCATTAAAAACTTCACCAGGACTCTGTCTGTCCTACTCATTTGGTCTATCTATATCAAATTTTCGTTATTAACAAAAGAAGTTGGTCATGATTTTTTTCTTAAATATGGCATATACCAAAAGCCAGTTTTGTCAAATGCAAATCTTTGGCTTCAGATATAATCACTTCACTGTTGTCTCCATAATGCGTTTTCCTCCTGAGCAGGGATGGAAGGACAGGAGGTCCTTTCAAATGCTTATTTGCATTCTCACCTATTTTAAAAATATTCCCCAAATATAAGTCAAACGGCAAACTGACTTAAACCCTCATATGAGGTCCTGTGCCTGCATATTTCTGTTCTATGAGGACATAACTGGAAGCACAATACAACTCAGTTTCCTCTCAGTCAGGCACAGACTGGATCCCACATGTATGCTCAGAAACCTAACTGGGACCAACACTATTGGCATTCCATCTTCCTGCACCATCCTATATCCTCCATCGCTCCTTCTTCAACTCTTCCATTAAAACGTTCCAATCAAGAAAAAGTAAAAAGACTATAACTAATTTGGTCTCTTGCAACCAGGAACATACAATTCCTCAAAGCAAGCCATACCTTCAAAGTAATGCAAAATATAAGCTTTTCAGCATGCCAATGCCAGAGAACCAGTTTGTGATGCAGCCTTCGGAGCTGCCGCCTGCACATCTCACCCCGTGCAAAATAGATTTGTTTCCTTAGCCTTCTCTCCTCTCATGCATGCTGCCCACAGCAATTATGGGCAAAAAGCACTTCCCTCTCCTCTCCCCAGCACCCTAGAGAGGTCACAGGGATGAAGGGGAAAAGCCAATGCCACCTACAATGCCACGTTACCCTCCCTGCTGTCAAAACCCTGCTCCCCTCCAAAACACTGCGTATGGTTTTCTTCTGTTACACATAAAACAAAAAGGCTGAGACTGTATGCACTGGGACACCTGAAGTAGTTCCAGGATTTTCTGTCATATTCAGATTCAGTTTTCACTTTTGTTTCGTGGATTTTTTCGCCACAGAAACATGTTGCCACTGTTTCTGTCTCCCCGTAGCTCCCGTGGCCCTGCACGGGAAGAGACACTGAGCATCAGCTGTGCCACCAAGGTAACAAAATTGCCTTCGTAGAAAGACTGGCCTTTTTTTTTCTGACTAAAACACCCTCACTGGGGATCCTCCTCGACACAAAAGCATTGTGCAACTGAACTAAATCCTCACTTGGATTATTGAATTGTACCACTGATCACCATTTCCGTATTACAGCTAAAATAATCCTTCCTGTAAACCACTTAGCCAAGATAAGTGGAGCAAGGGAACATTTTAAAATCGCTCTCCAGGAATGGCTGAAGCAGGCAATTAACAGAATTAACCTGTTTTTAATATTTATATCTCACAAACTTTTCTTTACAGGCTCGTCACCTTGCAAAAGCTGTTTCAACAACACAAATACATCCCACCTAACCACTGGCAAGTCATAGGCCTACATATACAAATTAGTTTTGGAAGGCAAAATATAAGGGCTGGAGTCTCACACATTTTAAATGAGGGAAGGCCAGTCTTGCCTGCTTCGTATCACATCTGTTGTGTATCCTCCTGAGGAAAAGCCAAAAGAATCAAGGCACTTCATGCCAGCTAACTAGTTTTCGTTCCTGGGTGTTGAAAGGTAGCCAGCCTGTATTTTGTGTGTTGCTCTGTCACAGACAGAGACTATGAGCTTTCCTAAGGAGATGGCAGATGTAATCCTCATTTTCCACAAGGATAAATTTCAGCTTCATGTACGAGGGCAGCTCTCTTTTGTACCCACTTGAGCTTCACCCTGAAGGTGGGTGCTTCCATTATTAAGGTCCAGCATGGCTACCATTCATTGAGGTACTTCCTCAGAAATCTTAAGTGTTTCTCTAACTGAATGCTTCAAAAATAAAAACTTAATGCTCCCTGGAAGCAGATCTGTCCACACCAGGTGAACTGCAACAGGGATACTCAGATTGCAGCAGCAGTCTGCTGGAGAAGGCACGCTGCCCTCAATGATACCAGCCCTGAACCGGAAAGACACAGCCTCTTACGGAGAAATGAGCAGTGTCAGCCCTGCTGCGTTGCTGCAGAAAGGCCAGAGTACATTGAACAGGGTTTAGGCATCTGACTGGCACATGCTGTTTTTCCTCCTCCACTCCTCAGCCTGGATTTACATTCTTGGCATAAGCTGCTCCTTCAATGCAATTTGTCTAGCAGCACCGAATTTGGTAAGAACAGCTGAGTGTTTTGCATTTTTATGTGTCTAGTGATATGTCGCCTGTTGGAGAGAAATCAATATCCTTCCAGGAGGGAAGCAAGAGCCAGGAAGATCTGCTGGGAAGAACCTGAAATTTTCATGAGGTCTCTTACTTCTCTGGCCTGGCTGTTTTTTTATAGCTTTATCATAATCTCAGTAAAACATGAATGAAACATCCAACCAAAACTATCTAGTAAAAGGCATATTGGTTTGTTGCCTGGTTTTAAAGAGAAATCTCTAAAATTCTCTACAAGTTAAATCCTCCAGAGGAAGCTGTTGTGCTTCACTGCTTTGTGAAAAATTTTCCCCATAAATCAATTCCCACTATTTAAGACAGGGCATAAAATGTCTTTTTTTTTCTTTTTTATTATTAAAATAAGCATATGTATCTTTAAAGGGGTAGTACCAGTCTCTAATTTTCATTTATAATTGCTTATGCATTAAGTCTGGCAGAGATATGCGAATGCTGCAATACAGTGAAGTCCTCTGTTACTCTCCTCTAGCCTGCCACTGAATGGCCCCAGTAATTCAGAGGTACGTTTTTATTATGTACCTTTTAATAATGACTTACTACCATATTGTTGCTTTCCCCTCCCTCCAGCAGCAAAATCCTATTGGTATCTCAATATTTTCATCCTGAAAGTATTAACAAGAAAAAAAAAAAAAAAAAGAGAAGTAGTCTGTTTTATTGTGGTTACATCACAGGACATTTCTAGTTACAGCACACTCGCTGCTAAGTTCTCAGAGAGGTCAGAAGAAGGTCAGTCACAAGTTTCACACTTGTAATCTTGCTTTCATCCACAGCTGCTAACACTGCTAGTTTATATGGTTACATCATCACATTGTTTAATATAATAATATTGCTTAGCACAAATTTAAAAAAAATATTTGAAGGATGCAAAAAACAACCAAGATGTCAATCCCGTGAGTTTTTGTGTAAAATGCGAGCATACGTATAAGCCCACTGATAACTCTACAGACTTTGCAGGTTGCCAGCATGTCTGAATTTCAGGAGATCAGTTTCATTAGACAGAAAACTTCATACTAGATTCGGGATGATCTCATAAACTTAAACCCCAAAACAAACACCAAAAGCACAGTAGTACAGACAGGACTTTCTGGGGAAACAGAGAAACAGAAGATACTTAATGAGAAGGGATCTCTGGCTTACTCACATGCAGGGAAGATGGCTACCACCATATGTAGACAGGGAGACATAGTAGATGGTATGAAATGCCATGGAGATCCCAGGGAAAATCAGGCAGCTGGAGACTAGAAGGATCTCCATTTTTTTCCACTCGAGGAAAGTGTAGGGAGTGGAGGACATAGCACTTCGCTTGACCCAAGATCTTCCCCTCCCCTTCATTTCGCCACCAAAAGGAGCAGATAGATAACCAGCAAAGGTTGGTTGCTTTTCATTGAGCAAGAGGCTGCAACCTCACTTCAGAGTTGCAGATGCTCTGGATGTCTTAGCTATGCTCTAGATTAACTAAGGATTAAGTACTTTCCAGCTAATTGATGATAGCATCCTGGGCCAAACCAACCGTAAAACAGTTCTTGACTAAGGTCCGTAAGGCATCATGTCGTTTGAGACGTTCTCTAAAAAACAAGAACAGAAATCCTGGGTGCTCTTCAGTTTGTTAAAACCAAAGTAGCTAATGCTTATGGCTCTTAAGTTGCCTCATCTTCTGCCAGTGAACTCGAATTCCCCACTCAGCAGGAGGAGGAAATACGGCAGGAGTACCGTTTTGCCTAAACTGAGATTTGAGATGGATTAAGCGAGCCACTGAATAGCTGTCTTGGTAACAGACTGTACTTCTCGTCCTTGCTTATCAGGTCGACACAGGAGGACATTTGGAAGGACTGTTTGTTTTATCCAAGAAGACAGAAACACATATGGAAAGGAAAAATCAGCGGAGCTTACCTATCATCACAGTAGGTAAATTTCATGTCCATGCTATGGCGACTCAGGAAGGTCTTGCTGTCCAGGGGAATATCGATGTTTGAAGGATGCTGGATAGGCTCACACATTATTATAAGGCAGGTGAGAAGAGGCTCTTTATACCCACACAGAGCATGAGGAGGGCAAGTGTTATACACTTTAACTTGTCCAGTGCAGTGCAAAACCTGAAATAATGATTTCTGAATGAGAAACATACTTAGAATGTACTTTCTCTACATGTCAAAATGTCTTTTTACATCAAAAACACTACCTTCCACGTGGCAGACTTGAGGTTAACAGTTCTGCCTCTGTTGGTAACAGTGCATTTCATCCTCATGAAGAAGTCACGCTCAGTTGACATCTCTTTGCTTTTCTTTCCAAAGCCTGGACCTGTATAAGGAAAACGGCAAATGAATTTTCTCAGTTTTGCTTCTTGATTTCTTCTACTTATAGCATGAAGGATCCACTAGGAATAACAGACTAATTCTTAGATAATTTACCTGCAGAGACCATCAAATATGCATGTATCATTGAAGAGCAGTTTGTAGAGCTCAGACCTAAAACTAAGTGGAACTTAAGTAGGACTTTGTGTATTTAAACTTAATGTTTTAGCTTGCACCACATAAATCTTTGCAAAGCATTACAAGTGAAAACATTACGCCTGTCTTAACTTGATGAAAGAAAAACACTAAACAAACAGTTCTTAGTGCTACCATATATAAGCAATATTTGGCAAAACAAATCTGCAAAGTATTGAATAACAGTTAATGATTATTCTAGGAATGAAAATTCCCTTTACCATGACTAACAGATCTCTACTGCCATCCAATTACTTAATTTAGTTATTTAAAAAGCAAACAGTGACTCTTTCCTATTTTTGTTATTACCATTTTTCAGACTCAGATTCTCTCGAATTTCTTCGTGGTCACATGGATGAGTGAAGTCAAAAATGCTGTGTCCAGTTAATTCCACCTATGCAGAAGTAAGAACTATATTTAGCTAAATAAAAGCAAGTAATAGTATTTATCTGTTTTTTAAATACCACCTATTCAGATGAAACTCATCACTAGAACCAGGTGCATCAACAGCAGCTTTGGGCTCATTTCCAGGGTTTTTAAAAGAGGAATTTAAGAGGAGTCAAAGATACCAAATTTGACTGTGATCTGATCAGTGGTGTGCAGTGGGTCAGAGGAGGTCTGATTCAGTTTCCTTTATCCATAATCTGTGCTGTGTTCTCTATTTAACCTGTTTACCTTGACTACACAACCACATCAAATGGGTGATTCCTGAAGGTGCACTAAAGAGCACGTACATCCAACCACAATCCTCTGGAGATTTTGGCTGTCTTTAACAAGACCCCAGCCCAGGCGTGAGAAGATGCTGACTGGGAATCAGGAGAACAGCCTTCTCACCACAAAAGCTGCACCAATTTTTCTAGTGTCCCTAAAGCATCTGCTTTTTTCGCTGAGATCCAGCGATGCTCACAGACACAAATCCTGTGACCCTCCCTTTGTTTATCCTATGCATAACTTCTCATTTTCTCCCAGAAGAATTCCCTATCTTTGAATTTAGACAGTGTGGTTACAGTCAGCACCACCAGTTATTTTCAATATAGAAGGAGAAAATACCCCAACCAACAAAGCAGAAAAGGGTGGATCCAAAAGAGCAGCTCTCTGCTCCCATCCCATAGTCTAAGGCACAAGCTGAATAAATGTCCATTCTCCTCTCTACGGTAGTATCTAGGAAGACAAGTTTGCAGCCACCAAAGACACTACAACTTTGATAGGGAGAAGGAGAAAACACCACACTGTTGTGTCTGGCATTCAGGGCACCTGTCTGAGAAATAATAAATTTTATTTCCAGTCTTTTCTGCAGTGACACGCAGCTGGTTTTCTGCATTTAGGCATAGGACTCGTTTCTAGGAACTGTATTACAAAGACAGGAAAGTGTTAGGAAACAAGTTACCTGGGTAAGACCCATGTATTTGTTGACATTCTCTGACAAAAAGATCATGTCTCCATCCTGTGTCACCACGGCAATAAATCCCTCCAAAGCTTTCAGGTACAAGTTGTCCATCTGCTGGTCTGCCTCTAGTTCATTCTCGTTGTCAGCGCATACTAAGAAAAAAAAGAAAAAAAAAGCATTTAAAGTCTTCAGCACCCTACCCAGCCTTTTTCAACACAATCACATCTAGTTACAAGGCAAAAAAATATTTTCCTGCTGTTAGAATTTCCTTTCCACAAACCCCTTCTGGTGGGGCCTTCCTTGAGAAGAAAGCCGTCTGCACAGCGTATGAAAGGGATGTCCTTATCACTAGAAAGATATTTTTCTAAACTTTTTGGCAAATGCAACAGACCCTCTGTTCACCCTTAGTGTGTTTCTGCAAGACGTGTTTTCAGTACGTAACATCTATATACCCAGACACAGAAGTCTCTATTCTTTGTGCACGTTCTTTTGGCCACACGCAACCTTCGTATCTCCTAACAGGCACAAAGTATAGGGCAAATTTTACAGAAGGGTAAGTAAATTTATGCATTCCTAACAAACGTCTAAGAAAAGATGTTTCCATCAGGTGAAGTCTTCTGAGAAGTTCAAGTACTTTTCCTATGAAGTATGCCTAAATAGACCTCCCCACTCGGTACGGAGAGGTCTGTTAATGCCACCTTTAGTAGAAAAAGTAGAAAAAAACACTTCCTTCAAGCCCTTTCAGGGGAATCTCTTCTTCATCCCATAACCTCAGTATTCCTGGGAAAAACACTGATTCATCCCACCAATGCCTGCTTTTTCATCTGCACACGTTGGAACTCCCTAAGTGCTGCTCCACCGAACTCTGGCAAGCTTTGTCACCCACCTATGCTCCTCCTGTCCCGCAAGGAGGAGAGCCTCAGTCCCCACTTACACCCCTCATGTTCGCCAATGCAGATTCATGAATCCAGTGCATCTTATCCATTTTTGGAGAAGTGCCACTTGTGCTGAAATCTAAGGCCATGCTAGAATACTTATTAAAGCTTTTTTTTTTTTTCTTTTTTGGTTACTCATTTTCCTGTTGCTTTTTGGTTGTGCTGTAGAGACAACTGATGGTACTGTGCATGCTCCACGTTGCTCATCTCCTGTGATGGGAAGCAGTAAGTGGGCAAAGCTGGAGGGAGGGAGAGGGAAACACTGCTCCTCCTAATGCCAATCACCCAAGTGCCCGCTCAGCACTCTTGCTTTTCCTTCTACACTTTTAAGCATGCTTCAGCTCCATGAATAAGAAGCCTGCAGGAGATGGTTTGTAGATGACTAATATTGAAAAATTTCTGTGTAGGAGCTGGCCCATTAATTTCTTGACATGTCATGTGAAACTTCTAGGATTATTTTTTTATAGAACTATTTACAGATATCGACTGCATCTGGTCTGTGTACCTCAGACATGCTGTGGTGAGCTTTATATTTTCAGTTATCTTGCACATTTGCAATCAGCCATTGCAAGTATGCGTAGTGGTAAGGCTGTGATTTCAGGGGAAAAAAGCAAACAAACTAGAAAAAAAAACCCTTATTGTCTCAGAATAAAGAATAACCAACTCCAACCATACACTGCTGAAGATACAAGGCCATGGGTAAGTCCCATCTAGATCAAAGGTCCTCCATAGCCCAAGGCAGCAAGGATGACTTGAGAGGAGTCGCAGTGAGCTGCTCTGTGCCCCTGCCCGGTGCCACAACAGTGCTCCAGGCTGCCCCCTCTGTTTTGCGGGCCAGAGCCCCCAGCCATAATTGCATCAGCTTTATTTGCAAGAACAGTGAGATTCTGAAACTTTCTTGTTGCTTGGAGATGTTGCTCTTTGTTGGTTTCATGTTGCAATTTCAGCATGCAGTTTTTGTTCTCTAGTACACATTTCTATTAGCACTTGAGAAAAGTATTTCAATTTTTGTTCTTATCCTCCCTGCAACACCACATTCATCATTTCCCTTCATGTTTCTTGTTGAAATACTAATTTTGGAAGAAGTCTAGAAGCAGGAAAAAAAAATGAAACATTATTAGAAGTGGTTTGGCTTTGAGATTTTTTTGGATAGGGAAGGGGCTGAGCCAAACTAATGCAGTTTTAACTTTGAAGTATTAATGAGCTATGATTAAAGGACGAGTCCAATCTATATACCTCTTATAGGCATGCAGTTGCTAAGGATAGACAGCAAGCAAATGCAGAGGGATGAGCACATGCAATGCAGAGCCCACTGAGCCACTGTTTGGAACAGATGAGTGGTGACAAAAACGATGCTGGTTGCTGTTTCTGCATTCTCCTCCTGCTCCTCAACATCCCTCCTTGGCAGCAACCCATTACCCATTGTGAAAACACAGGCATGAACAGACTTAGCCCCAAAGCCATTGGGAGCACTTAGTGTATCACCCTTTGCTTCTCAACACGATCGTTTGGTAGTAGGGAAGAGATGACGCTCTCTGGGGATGGCCAGCACAGGCTGGGCATTTATCATTTCATGTCCCTGCACTGCAATTCTAACTACACACACAGGGGCCAGTTCCTCCTCGGCACAAAGCAACCGACTTCAGGAAATTACATCAGGGCTAGCATTTAAAATACAGAAAATACACAATAATATATTTGAATAGTATGCACTTTGACCATAATGACATTTAGGGAAGGAAAAAAAGAAAAAAAAAAAAGAAGGTAAGTGACCATCTGCTCTCAAGCTTGTTTCTGCTGTGTAAAGAATGTCAAGGGTCTTTTTTTACTTTTCCGGAAGCAAACAAATGGTTTATTCAGCAGGGATCATGGCCATAGCCCAAGACAATCAGCCAAGTGTGGGCTCCGAGAAAAAAAATGACTTTTCAGCTCTAACCCCAGACCCTTCTTTCCATTTTTTTTCCCAGCTCATTAAGTTTGCATTAACAAAACATGACCATTCAAAGGCAGGAAGGCTATTCAAAGCATTTGTATTCTTAAATGCCTCCAACAGTGAAAGACAAACACTTTACTTGCATTATCAGATGATTAAGTTTGCTTTTCCATGTATATAAATTATATTACTTAGGCAAACACACACAGAGGACATGGGATCACTCACATCGGGGCTGCAGGTTCAAACCCCTAATGTCCTAGCTGAGCACAGCACTTAAAGATATAGTTGGCTTTAAAGCACGTGGTTACAGGGTTTGTAGGATCAGAGTTCAACGTTTTTTATTAAAATTACCTTCATCCAGCTGGAGGCATCTGTGACATGGACTTGGGAGGAGGGAAGGAAGAAGTTTTGAGCTGCTCTGCACCCCCTCTCACATAACCCAAACGCAGGACCAAGGTGTTTTGCAGACACCTTCTAGCTTCCCTGGTAACTCAACAAACCCCACTGCATCCCCTTCTTCTCCCTTAGCAGCCTCAGCCACAGCAGGCAAGGGGAGCTGGCAGAAACAGATTTCTGGTAGCACTTAATAAGGCATGCTCACGCTTCAAAGACGGAGACAGCTGTATCAAGGAAACTGTAGGCACTATCAGGCGCATAAAGGTAGGTGACAAGTACCTCCAGGGGCCGCTGTGCTGGTGCTGCCTCTCTATTCCTTGCCTGTCCCCCAGCAGCCTGCCCAGGGAAGCCCAGGCACTGGGGAATGCTCCAAAGGCACTCACGTCTTCTGGTGTGCCCAGGTTCTTCGTGGTGGTTGCAAACACAACAGTCTCAGAAGCTGTCATCTGGGCTAAACCACTGAAGCATTTTAGCTACCTGAAGATCTTCAGTCTACAGCAAAGATATATGCTGGGCATCACTGTGGCAGCCCTAGCTGCCCTATATCAGGTAACTTAGTATAATTATAGTAATATAAATAATAAATAACAGTCCCTCATGTGGCTGCAGCTTTCACTTTAGCCAAGAAATTTCAGCTTCAGCTGTGAAAATCACTAGCTACTAATACACGGAGGATATACACGCATTAGGAGATTGATACATCAGAAGCAATACAGTTATTGCCACTAGCAAAAATCCCGTTTGCTTTAGAAAGAATCTATTTTGCTCCCAGAAATCCCTACTATCTTTCACTTTAGCCAAGAAATTTCAGCTTCAGATGTAAAACCAGTGAGGAAGTTGGGACCAAATGAAAGTAGGAGGTTAGCATGAGGAGGTGGGGGGAAGTAGGAGGTTAGCATGAGGAGGTGGGGGACAGAATTTAGTTTCCAGTAAGTCTGAGGTCACTATATCCTGGTAGCAGGACCCTATGTAGACTTGCCAGAATTTTCCAGGTCTTAAAGAACAGTAACTGTGTACTCAGTTTGCCCTGATTTTTAGGTAGAGGTTTTGTTGTCAGCATTGCTTTTCAAAGTAGCTGCGCTAACTAAGTTTTGAAATAAGGATGCGTTCCTTATATTTTCCTGCAACTTTTTCCATTCTACTAATGGGAGTATCTTGGTTCAGGCACCATGACAGTATAGCAGAGAGACTAGGCTGCAAAAATGCCAGTTTAACTATAAATTAATAGCACATTCAGCAGAATGAAGTACTGTAATATTATTGTTCACATTATGGTTACATTTATGGATCTCAGCCAAGACTCTGCTCATGTAGCACTGGGAAGCCTACAAAAGAGGGAGAATCCCTGTCTAGCTGAGATCGAGAGAACTTGAAACATGTCAGAGAGTCACAGAAGAGCTCAGTGGGCTCCCTGAGGCGACTGTCAGAGCTACAGCAGATCCAGGAACAGAGCAACCACGTCCCATGTCCCAATTTGATAGGTCATCCACCATTCATATTGCCCCAAGGCAGTATTTCTTGGTCTGCATCAAATTTTGATACAGTATTTTTCAGTTCACGTCTCAGTCTTCATCAGATTTTGACAAATACTTTTTAATCAGCTCTATTTTGAAAAATTTTCTAACCGCTGAAGTAGAATTTATTCATCAACAAGAAACTTTGAACTGTAATGGCAAACGCTTATTGCAGTGTTTATGATAACCTTTTATGCTAAAAATAGCTCTTGTAAACAAGCTTGATTAATTCCCACTGTCAGGATGTGCACTGTTCCCAAGTTTAAGAACACTTTTTCCGTAGATGCTTGCTCATTTCCTTCAGTCCAACCTCTTGGAATGAGTCTGAAGGCTCAAAAATCAGGCTCTCTGTACAAGAAATAACCGCTCAG